CACTGAATTGTCCTTCATTTCAGCTGTTGGACCTAATTATGAGGATATTTTGGTGACAGGCTTGAGCAGCATGGCTGTATAAATAATTTCTTAGTAAGATTTCTTGTGGATGATTTTAGTGTCACTTGCTCTGCATTGTGCACAAGGTTATGGCTTAAAGAATGAGGCATTCAGGGCATAGGAGTGTTCTGTGCCTTACGTGTTTTTAAAGTTTAGTATTGATCTGCTGTCTAGAGCGAGAAAATATCAAAAGAATTAAAGGCTTAGAAGAAAAAAAGGAGAGAACCAAGGCAAGGAAGTAGATCTAAAAAATCCAAGAATGAGTTGCTGGGGGGGGAGGGAATAGAGTTTTGTTACTAGAATTGCTAGCCTCTTTGAAATCTGAGAAGAAGGGAGAAAAGGGAACTACTTCTGGATTCCTGTACTGACTAATGATACATGGAGTGACGTATTAGAAAAGAAGCAGCATCCATAACCTCATCAAAGGCAGAACTTTTAATCTGCAGATTTCATTCTGTCAAATTTCCTGTAAAAACCAGAGTACCGTAAGTATTTTACAAATGTATTTCACAAAAGTATTTCTATTACTGCAACTTATAAACAAGGAAACTAAAAGCCTTATCAGTGAAGTATTTTTGTCTGATATGATATTGTTACATTCACTAACACTTTTGGGCTATCTGGGAAATGGAATTCACTAATGCATCAGCTTTTGACTTGTACTTCTAAGGAACTTTTGTGAGCTAGCTTTGAGCAGTGCCATATTAATTTAAATAAAATAGCACCTACAGGTACAGAAACAAAAATGCATCCATATTCTGACTTTAGTTACAGACTTACCTAAAAGCCACTTAAAATAAATCAGGATTTACTAAGGAGGATCAGCCAGGTCTCATTTTAATGACTGGCCTAGAGCTAAGGTAGGGAGTGACTCAGAGAAGCCAGTGGTCTTACTGGAACAAGGGGCATCTGAGTCTGGGCAACTGGAATTACACAAATGGTATCAGACATTCAGCGTCAGTAGGAATTGGGTAGCTGGTGACTTGTACTTAGAGTCAGAAAATAAATAAAGTTGAAGTAAAAAGAAGAAAGTCCCAAGGCAGGCTTTGATACATTAAAGTCAGGGATTTGAGTTAGCTTGGCCATTAGTATTCAGAGCTGAGCAAAATCAAGCAGTGGGGAAGGACCACCTGGTGCAGGGCACAGTGTTCCAGAAGGCTTTTGTACACCTTGGAGTCTTATTAAATTTGAGTTTTCCAAAGCATGTTTAGAAGCAATTACAAGAAATCCTGGAAGAGATGCTGGGTAGCAAGCAGAGTACAAAGGACATAAACATTAGAAAATGTAGTACAGCGATATTCAGTATAATATTTGTATTAGTAACTCTGCTGGGAGATATTTATTAACCGTACATTGTGACATCATACATTAAAGAAGATTTAGTATTGCCTAGGGCAGGCAAGAGATGGACATATTTTAGACTTGTTTTGGGAGACCTAGCCCTAAGTTTGCAATGGACCTCATTCTGTAAAGCAGTGAAAGACAAACACAAATTAGTACTTATTTGCTTTGGCAAGGACCTTGAGTAAAACAGTATGCTAACACATCTGCTAAAGGCATGAAATCCCTAAGAATGTAGCCCAGCAGACAGCGCAATCCCCTGTGGTAGAGGATATGCAAAACCATCAGGATGTTCATGGAAGCTGCTGAAAATACATAATTAGCATTTGCAAGGGAACACTGGAATGATTTTTCTCTCTCCAATAAGATGGCTCCTTCCTTGAGAAGGTAAGTACTCCTGTTTGAAATTATTTAAGCTCAAAGGAAATTGCAATAAAACTGTAAAAATAATACCCAACTGCTACACAAAACCAGACAAAAATTCAGACCAGAGCCACTTCTTGAATGCTTGGGACTACAGTGTGTAAAGCTTTCTTTGCAGATGAGAGCTCCCTTATCTGAGAGAGGGGGGAGTTGTGAGCACCATTGAAGGGACCCAGCACCTTCCAGTGCTGTGCTTGTGACAGAGAAACAGGACAGACAGTGATCCACAGCCTCAAAGGCAAGTAAGGAACAAAAACAGTTTTGGGAGGCTGATATGATTCTCCCTTGGGGTTATTGTAAAACTAAGCTAGACTGCCTCTCTCCTGAGACTGGTCTGTGGCTGAACCTGATGACAGTGAGGGAATTGGTGCCAAAGCAAGAGTTGGGACTGCGTTTACTGGGTCCCCGACTATCTACACTGAGGAGTGGGAGCTGCACCTCTGCTGTGAGGACAGAAGATTTCCTCTTGCAAGAGACATTGAAAGCTGAAGGCAGAAAATTAAGGTCTTTCATCCTTCCTCCTGAGAGTGGTTGGAACTTACAAAGGGTTTGTGACACTGATGGGGACAACAGGTGCCATCAAGCAGGACAGGAGGGGACCTTCCAGTGCTGTTCCTTGGATGTTCCTTGGATAAGGAGAGAGGACCCATATTCTGGGTCTCCTAGAAATATAGAACTGTTCAGGTTGGAAAATACCTCTAAGATCATTGAGTCAAATCATTAACCCCACACTGCCATAAATAAACCATAGCCCTAAGTGCCACATATGCAGATCTTTTAGATACCTCCAGCAAAGGGTCTCATCCCCCAAGACTGATCTTGCTGGAGAATTTTCTTCTTCTTCCTCAGTAGCAGCAGAAAGAAGGTATTTATGGAGTTGACTGTTCAGCCCCCACAGTCCAGCTCTGACCAAGTCTAGGGTGACTGACTCACAGCATCATTACCAAAGACAGGAAGGGACAGAGCTGCCACAGACACTGAGACAGAAGCCTCAAGGAAGGGAAGAAATGATAACAGAGAACACAGTAACCTCCACCATCTGACTCATCCCCTGTTCATTCTTCTTGGAAAAGCTCACTTTGTTCCACAGTGACAAGCTGGGAATCCACAGTGTGGCTGGGGTGCAGAGCTGGTGATGCACAGGGAAGGCAGAGGCTGCTCAGCATATCTGGTTTAAGGCCCTATTTCATTCTGCACACAAATGTGCGTGTGTGGTTGCTCAGGTTGATGGTGCATCTTGGAAGCTGAGCCACAATTACAACAGAACTATCTCTACCACTGAGGAATATCTGCAAATGCCCTCCAAAGTGGGCATCCCTACTCCTCCATGCTGCCAGAGGCATCTAGACACAAGAGACAATATGAAGCTGCTGACTTAGACAGTGCTGCTAGGCAAATATCCTCAGGTGGGTTTATTTCTAATGGGCCTTCATGTCCCATCCTTGCAGCGCTGATTAGAGGAGTTATGCACTGCATTTCACTGTCTTGTTCTGCATAATACATTATTCTGAAATAGGCTGAGAAGAAAATGAGGCAGACACAGGGAATGGAGGATTTGTGCATCTGGTTAATAAAGAAGCCCTATAGGGCAAAAGCAAGAAATAAAGACACCTGTTTCTGGCTTGGCTTGATTACCTTTCACCAAAGTAAAAAACAACCTTGCAAATGTCCTTAATGTAGAAATTAATGTTTTGCTATTATGTGAGACTGGCATTTTCTGCCATATACACAGACTATTAGTCAGAGATTTCAGATTATAACAATTTGACATTCATTAACAAAAACTATCTTGAAAGGAAGATTTCTTAATTAACTTGAAAAACAAATAGACAATTCAAGATGCTATTTTGATTCTGCAAAACTGTGAACACGTGTGCATGAACCAGGATAGGCAGGGCACAGGAACAACCTCAGGACCACAGATAAAATGCAAAGAAGTGAGTTTAATTTTGTTACCCCACCAAACAAGGCACTCCAGAGCAGCATCCAGGCAGAGATGCAGGCACTGTTGCATTTGGTCCATACTAAAAGTTCCCCCACCTGGATCCCTCAGCCCTGGCTGCCAGGCAGCATTTTGCCCTCCCTTGCCCAGGCTTTCCCCAAGGAAAACTGGTTCTTACCTGCCCACCCAGGAGGGTCTCAGCCACGCCGCACATGGGTTTTTTGTTTTCTACAACCTTAGAAAAGCCCAGCACGAAGGATCTTTAACTTTAAAAAAACCCAATCTTTCCACAAGCAGCACATATCTGACTGCACTTCATTGCTGCATGTGATGTATGGCTGTTTACAATTGATGAAGTATTAAGGATATTGGCTCCAAGGCTCCTTCTGACAGGCATGTCACAAAACCACAAATAAAACAGATCCATGGTCATGGAATGTATTCTACTAGAACAAATATTTTAAAGGAATGATATAGTTACAATCTATAATATAATCATTTTTACCAACAAAAGAAGCAGTAAAAAACTCTAAAAGTGCACAAAGTCTCTGTAAAGCAAAGAGTAAAGCTAGCAAATTAACTCCATTATTTCAGAAGAAATTACAAGCAAAATTTATTCATAATAAAATACCATATTCTAGGTAGCATTTTCTTTCCTCTTTCAGTTTCATTCCAAATAAATCCTGTGGGGGTTTTTCCTCTGACAGTGCCAGTTTTCTCTGCAACTATATTGATTTCAAAATTAAGTAGTTCTGAAACTATTACTTCCTAAATAGCAATACCAAAATGAGTGAAAACCTGGTACAGAATGTTTTGCTGCTGATTTCAGTGAAGCAAAATCCTTGTTTCTGAAGAAGCCATCAATTCCTTGCAGGATTTAAAACATAAAAGCATGCACATGCACACATACTTTTTATCCTCAAAATAATGTAAAAGTGAAAATACCAAGCCCAATGTCTGTACATTAGGGGTATTACCTAAGCCACCAATATTCTAAGGCAAAATAAGACATTAGTGAAACAGAAAATAAACATAAATGATATTCTATGGATGGGGCAGAAGCTATGAGCTGCTCTAGAGAAATGAGAGGGTCATCCCAGCACAACAGATAGGAAAGATCACTACATAGACCAACAGTTTTAAGGGCATTTTTAAGACCAGTTTTTAAAAGACATAATACAACTCAGGAGCAAATCTGTTACAAATTACAAAAAACATACATAACAGAAAATGATTTTAAGAAATTATGTACTTTATTTCTTTTACAGACACAAAGAAATGGGACATAACCCCTCAATTTATAGACAAAAAGTTGTTTCTCTTGCACCAATTTTAAGAAACAAGACAGTAAAAATAAGAATTACAAAGCCAAACAGGTAACAGTTCAGATGCAGCCAAAGTGGAGAAAGCAATGCAACTCAAACCCTAGCTTGGTCAGCTTGGGTTCTAGTGCCACCTGCTGAAATAACAGCAGTCTTCACCCTGCAATCACAGCTAATGAACAATTTAAATTAATCCTCTATATAGACAGCAACACACAAAGAAAGGTCACGAAGAAGATGAAGTGCTTGAGTAATCTAAGTGCACATCCAGTGAGCCATACACAGAACGCAGTAAATCAAGAACCTTCTCTTGAATGATGTCAACCTGCTCTGAAGGGCAGTAATCATCCAAACTTGATCTGTAAAAAAAAATTGAAAAATCATGGGAATATAGATATCACAACCATAACCACACTGTGTACTCCTGCAATGCCCTGTGGCTAGGCTGAAGCTTCTTTCAAACTGTAACAAGTTTTGCCTCCCAGTATCCCTTTGAAGCATAGTGCTGTGCTTCTTAGCACTACATGTTAAGTTTAATAGAAAGTCTGCAGCAGATCAGGAACATGATCTAATCTTTCCTGTTCCTTCTACTCTCTTCCTGAACCTGGTACAGAACACTCTGGCAGTCAAAGTTCAAAGAAATTATCCAATTAAAGGACACATAGAAAATTTAGATTAAGAAATTGAAATGCTACTGGTAAAGTAGGCAGAAAAACTTGAAAAACATCTTCACAATACCTGGCATATAGCATTTTTTACAGTATCTATTAATGAACTTCAAACAGATACAAGTAAAAACTGGTTTCCTGAATTTTTTATCTGTTAAGATCTACAGAGATGATTCTGGTTTCTCCACAGCAGTGGATAATAACCCGGCAATTGGCCCAGGGAATAGACTTTATTTTTTTGCAGGCATTAGCCATATTAGTTTTTGTTGCCAAAACCAGCTTCATATCAGCTTCTGCTATTGTTGCTGGTGCTTTAAGAGCACAATTAGTATTTCTGACTGATTAAATTGCAATAATTTGTCAAGAGGCACACTGTGGTCTTCAAATTAGATTTTTTCAGGCCAGTTTTTGGTTCTCCCAGGTCTCTGGCTTCAAACTCCATTCTGTTATTCTAAATAAAACCTTTACAGTTCTGGAAGCCCAACTTTTACCCCATAATAAAGTTTTACTAGAACTTTGAAGAATATAAATGCTTTTTAGTCTACTAGATGAAAACTCATTCCAACAAAAGTTTCACTGAAAAAAAGAAATCCTATGTGTAGTGCAACAAACCCTAGAGTAAGAGAGTAAGGAAGGTGGGGTTTCAGCACAAGCCACCTTTATCCTAATTAGCTCAAGTACCACAAGTAGAGATGTATGAACTCCAGTGACAGCTATCAATCCCAACACACACAAGGCCTCAACACAGCCTTTATATAACCTGTGCTGAAGCACTGTCAGGCTTCCACTTTAACAGAACTAGTGCTATGCAGACAGGATCATTTAGCTTCCTTAGCATAGTCCAGACATTTTGAAGTCAAAATATCTGCACAGTCTTACCGAGCAACTGTCACCAGCGTGGGTTTGGGCAGATCTGTGAGTAGAACTTTAATGGATTGTATGAGGCCTTCAATTTCGTCCTCAGTGCTAACATGGTGAGGAAGCTCCACGTAATCACAGGTCAGACCAGCCTGATGGACCTGTGGGTAAATTAAAGAGAGATTTCATTTCTGTTGATGAATTATCAATATAGCTTATGCATGAAGAAAGTCTTTAGGATACAATCCCTAGCCCATCAGGTAACTTGCACCTCTTAAACAAGTAAAATTTTGGAGGTTGTATGGATTATTTCATTATCTCCAGCACCCTGTACCTCTTCTAATGAATTCAGAGTATGCTACAGTCCTTGAAGGTAATATAGCTGTGATACTTTAAAAATAGGTACCTTATTTTAAGTTCTACAAAGGAGACCAACAGACTGGTGAAATTTAGCCTCCACTCACAGCATGCAGCCCAAGTCTTCACAGTCCTGGGAGATCACACTAAAGCTGCCTAAATATAGACAGACAAGCAGGCTAGAATTTTAGCAGCTTTGAAAGGAAAAGCTGGTCTGAGTAATAAGACATAAAACCTGAGGAAAATTACCAAAATCTCAGGAAGTTCTGAATCAAGAAGCAAGTCTGGAAGGAAGTATGACTCTCTCCCTCTCTGCTGAAGCCATGCTTTTGACATCTGCCTGCTTTCTGCTTTTGTCACCTACCATTTCATAGTCTGGGCTTTCCATCCTGGTTTTCAAACTGTGAACTAGTTGAACAAGTGGCTTCATTCTGGAGTTAAAACAAAACCAAAATTTGTTACAAACAGCTGGAAACATTTATATACCTTAAATGGCTAGGAAAAAGAAAAAGGTGAGGAAAAAAGAAGGAAGAAAAAATGAAGGCCTAGGATTTGAAAAGGATATTTGCTCCTCTGTCATCTGCACTTGCAAAAAAAGAAATTATCAGTATTATTGTACTGTTTCACCAGGTCTTCCTTATAAAGCCCCTATATTTATACCTGCCTCTGGCAAGTCTTCCTTGTGCTTCTTTTAGGGTATATCTGCAGAGCAGAGAAGCTGTTGCAGCTGAAAAGTCATATGAACTTTATAGAAAATACTTCTTGTCACTGTTACAGAGGTTGTACAGTAACTGCTGCATTTGATGTGGAAAATTAGTGATTTTCCTATCAAGGAAAAGCTCAGACTTTCCCTGTCTCTTTCCACCTGAAAACTTTTCATGTGAAAACATCTAGTTTAAAAGTGGAGTGATGCAGTTCAGACGTTTAGTGGAGACTGTTGCTCAGGTACAGTTCCATGAATTTCCATTTTTCCAAAGAAAGCAGAACCTTTGGGAGCACTAAAGAACTGCTTCTCCATGTCCTCCTCGGTTTGTTGCCTTTTTTGAGAGCTGTGCTACACACTGATGACCAAGGTTTTAGTCACCAAATATGCCTCCACCCATAGACAACAAAACTTGCATGAAGCTGTACAAGACTGAGCTTCCAAAGCTTACAATAGTGCTGAAGACAGTAGACTGCCTTTCCTTTTGTTTTGTCTCTTTCTCCTCTAGGACTAAAGAAAAAAGCGTATACTTGCACAGATCCTATCCTTCTCTCTTATCAAAATGCTGGACTAATCAGTTCTCAAGCTTCTATTTGCAATTTAGGCCTCTTAGAAACCTCCTACCCAGGATATGAAGCCCATTTCTGTAGAGTTTCTTCGTCATCAGTGTCACACAAATCCGCAAATGCTGCTTCCAGATCTTCCAGCTGATGAACACGGTTTTCAACACAATCCAGCAAGTCTTCCTTTAAATAAGCATACACAAAAGTATGTTAGGGAAAAGAAAGAGGTAAGAACATCATGACTTATCCTATGATTTAATTTCTGTAATGATTGACCTACTGGAAGTGGGGAATCAGAAACAACAGACTCATTCCTACAGCACATCTTTTCAAGAGGATCATAACAAAGGCCTGCAGAAACTCTTACACCTTCAGAATAAATCATCTCACTTTGTCCTGATTTTCTCACTACAAATTTAAAAAAGCCACCTTTTAAATCTGTACCTGTTTTTATTCCTGGTTAACTAAGCAATATAAAAATCAATCTGCCAATATTCAACGTCTCTTTATTTTTTTATTCACACATATTAATTAGGTTTCACTTATTTGTGATAATTAAATGTGCTGAATCTCTCAGTATTTAGTGTTCAGACAAGATTATGAAAGGCTGTATTTCCATGTTTTAGAAGTACACAGCACATAAAATTAAAAGTACATTACAGTACTTAGCATAATACCATGCTTTCCACATCTGAACAAAAAGGTGAAATACCAATTACACACTCATCACAGCACTGATTATCAAGAACGAGCAAGAAGGGAAGGAATGGGAGAGCCTGGAGGGAGGTATAAAAAAAAAGAAAAAAAGAACCAGCCACCAAAAAACCCAAAAAGAAACACCCCACCCCAGTTAAACTATAAAAAGAACAAGTTTGCTGGTGACTTATTAGGTTTTCATTCCTTTCATGCCAATTACCATTTTGTTTACAGAAACAATTTTTGACACTCATACTAAATATTTATGCAATTCACATATTCAAACAAAACATTTAATAGAAAAAAAAATCTAAGATGCTGCTGATTAGCATTTGGCTGCATAGCTTAATGTGAACCCACTTCATTAAGCACCTTTGATAGGTTCCTTCCTGTTGTCATAACTCATTTTCATTGGGTAAACAAAAAGAATCATTCCTTCATACGTTCCACAAGGAAGCATCATACCTCTGTTGCATTTTTATGTGGCTTCTTGAAATTGTACAACTCTTGCAAAAGCTCATATTCTGTCTTTGAAAAAGAAAAAAAACAGTAAGAAAATGACTCTTCAAATGAGAAAACCAATCCTCAAAGCCTTCAAAAGAGATCACTTCCCTACTCTAGTATGGCAGACAATAATGAGAATAACAGCCTTTCATCGGGACAAGGTACCACTCTTCGGATAATCAACACTACTGTGCCTTTTGAAAGGCAGTCTCCTGATACCATCATGGCTTTCTGAGCACAGGTTATAGAGGGTAAAAAATGACAAAGGCTCTCATCTCCCCCGATGAATCTTGCAGTTGGTATTTGGAAGGTAATCTCTGGGAACCCAAGCATAGCTTTTATGTCCCAAGCAAACAGCAGAAGTTGAATATATCCCTGAGTTTGAACATACACTCAATATTGATACCAAGTATAAGAAACTCCTCCTGTTTGGTGGTTGAAATTTTTTACCACATACATTCCCTTAGAAATACTTCTTTAAAATGGAAATACCTCTTTAAAATATTACCATGAATCATTAACCATGATCAGCTAATCTGTTAATTTAGCTTAGATGAGAGTTTCTCCATAGACATAAATATTAGGGCTGGGACTCTTTAGTGAGTGGTATGAGGCTACTCAATTTCCATACTTACCTGTGTGTACATTTCTTTAAATGGATTTTTAACTGAAAAAAAATCTAAGTCAATGTCCAAAACATATGCATCCCCCTTCTGCAGTACTTGGCAGACATCTTTAGCAATGTCCCTTATTGGGCATTCACTGTTTTTAAGATGGCTTGAAGATGAGTCTTCTGCCGAAGTTTCTGCCCCATTCAGGGCACCTGTATTTTGCATTTCCTTTTTTTTCACACTCTGGGTGATGTGATCAAAGTCAGCAGGAGCCACTGAAGAGGCAGAAGTGGCACTTGCTGTGTCATCTGTATTTAGCTTCAGTCTTTTAGCAGAGGCTACTTCGTCACTTCCTTCACTGCTGTTTGATGATTCAGTAGGATTGATGAGAACGACGTGCAAATTTAAAGGCTTCTGGTTTTCCAGCTGATCAGCAGGAACATAAAGACCATCACTTAAGAAGTAATTATCTGTGCCTGTAACCCTACAATTGACAATAAATCCCAGTTAATACACATTTTGGCAAAGAGCATAGGAAAAAGCATTTTATACTTTAGGGACCCAGAGAAGAATGAAAAGATGTTTGATGGCTAATGAAAGCCATAAAACTGTGTAGACAAAATTATTTCTTTTAATCTTCAGGTTTAAATTATATTAAAGTTTTTTCTACTTCTTTATTGTGGAATATTTAAAATTCACTCTATATTTATTATAATAGCCCTACAAAGTTTTAATGGATAAGAAAAAGATAATGCCTTATGTGCTACTGAGATTAATTTGAAATCGAATTGCATTTTAAAGACAACATCCAGAATTGACAAGATACTATGGCACATAAGATTGCAAAGCTTTTGTCTTGTTTTGTAATTTTCTGGGAAAATTATGATAGTTGGGTTTGTGAAGTGCCCTGAAATGCATAAATATTTACACTTAGTGAAAGTACAATATTATAAATCCATAAGTAGAATTTAACTTTTTTTTACCCCAACACATTCCCTAAGTGACAAACATGGTAACTAGAGGATAAGTAGCTAGCTATCAATTGAATCCACTTCAAAATCCCACAAAACAACTAACCAGCCAAAAGCAACACTAAAACTTCTGCTTACAGTGAAAATTTGAAGAACAGGATTTTCAACCTGCATTGCAGTACATTAAGCCTTAATCATCATAAACTCAAATCACAAATAAGATTAGGAAGTGTGAACTGCTCGCTTGTGATGAGGCCTTATTTGAGTAGAGGGTATCACCATCAATCAACCACAAAGACAAATCATTTCCTAAGCAGGAGAAATTTGAAGTTCAGTTCCCCAATGTCTTGTGGATGGATTACCCTCAGTTTGTCAAGGTCAGGGGCTGGATTACAACCCCATCTTGTTGACTAGGCAATCAGTACATCTTCCCAGAAATTCTGCAGGGTTCACCATGAGCTCATAGTACGTTAGTGTCCACTAATGATGAGGCTGTATCTATTGCCTATCCATCTCTTCTCGTCAAAACTTTTAGGACATTTCTATTTATGAGGACTCTTTCCCTTTCTTCCTTCATGGTTTTGGTAAGCCTAGAACCTTGAAGAAAATGTGTTCAAAAGGAAGTCTGAAATGTTGTTTCCATGCCTGCTAAGGCCACCAGTGAGAGAGCCATCGTGACTTATGCTTAAATATAGGCTAAATGATTAAACGTAACAGAAAGCACTAGCTATTTAAAAAAACTCATTTAGGTTCCCTTTAGGCTTCAGACTCAGAATTGTAGAGCTTTAAGTGTTTTATTTAAGGTGGTAAAACAAAGCATTTCTCTGCTGTTTTCTGTTAAACTTGCTTCAAAAGATTTATTTTGCTATGCTCACAAGAGACATGACTTACAAATATCCCCTAAAGCTGCACAAAATCCCAACACTGTGAATATGGTGAGTGCAAAATTATTATGGACTGCATCCTGTAGAATGATAAGGGGCTCTGATTCAAACTTGAATCACAGAATAATTAAGATTCAAAGAGACAACTGGAGGTTTCTAGTCAATCATCTGATCAAAGCAGAACTGACTTCAAAGCTAGGTGAAGCTGCTCAGGTGAATTGTCCTTTATCAAATGATGGAGAATTCACTATCTGAGTGCCTGTTTCAGTGCTTAACTAGATCAACTTCCAAAACCAAAAAAACTCCAAACAAACAAAAAAACCCGCTCCACACCAGAAAAACAGTCATGGCTGATACCAAATAACAATTTTACTAGTTAGACCAAAGACTAAGTTGATACAAGAGTAACTGCATTAGGTTCTAAGGAAATTACAAATACAAATTAAATGTTCATCTTTATCCAAGAAAACAAAAAAAAATCCAGTGAAAAGCAATGGAGATGGCTTTTATATTACTAGTATATGTCATCAGACAATTTACCTGATAGTTGTTGTTGATACATCTTTCCCAACCAGAAAACTGTGTTTCCCTTCTGAGATCTGCTGAGCCCAGCGTGGGTGAAGCCACACTACTTGAGAAATATGGCCAGCATAAACAGCAGGCATAATCCAGTTTTCAATACTTAATTCACTGTAATCAGTAGAGAAAGACAGAAGATAGCAATGTTACTTTCCCTATGAATAAAAATGGTCAACAACACCACAAACATCTTCCACATCTTGAAGGCCTCCATGCAAATCATCTAAAACTAGTACTCCAATGTAAGGGTAACATCAACAAAGAAAGAAAAAGACGGAAATCTTTATTCATGAGACAAAACAAGAATGTCTGTAGTAGGTATAAAGAAGTTCAGACCTACAGTGGAATTTGCTTCACTCTTGGAGTGGCACTTTGATTATAAACTCCTTAGTGGTGGACCTGGCAGTGTTAGGTTAATGGCTGGACTTGATAATCTTAAAGGCCTTTCCAACCTTACTGATTCTGTGATTCTATGCCCTTTATCTCTTGATACATCAGACAGAGGAAAGTGCAAGGAACATCATCAACTTTGTTGTAAATAACCTCAAACTGACCTCACGACTGTTTTATTGTAAACTGCTCCAAGTGTATTTTAAATATCATCCCAATAATTAAAGTGAGTCAATCCATATCCACAGGATTAATATCTTTCCTCATTATCAAGACCCTATTTTTTTAGGTGTATGATGCCAGCTGTATCCTGGGCTGCAGCAAAAGAAGCATGATGAGCAGGTCACAGGAGGGGATTCTTCCCCCATATTCTGCTCTTGTGAAACCACACACCTGGAGTGCTGCATCCAGGCCTGGGCCCCCCACATAACAATTACATGGTCCAGAGAACCACCAAGATGATCAGAGGGCTGGAATGCCTTTCCTGTGAGGACAGGTTGAGAGGGTTGGGGTTGTTCAGCCTGAAGGCTGCACAGAGACCTTATAGTACCTTCCAATACCTCAAAAGGAACTACAAGAAAGCTGGACAGGGACTTTTTACAAGGGTATGCAGTCATAGGACAAAGGTTTAAACTGAAAGAGAGTGTGTTTAGATTAGATATTAGGAAGAAATTCTTCATTGTGAGTGTGGTGAGACACACGGGCTGTCCAAACGGTTGTAGGTAACCCATGGCCAGAAGTGTTCAAGGCCAGGTGGGATGGGGACTAAGCAACCAGGTCTAGTGGAAAGTGTCCTTGCCCATGGAAGGGGAGTTGGAACTAAATGATCTTTAAGGTTCCTTCCAACCCAAAGCATTCAATGATTTTGTGATAGAGTCCACAAAACCTTTTATTCATCCAATAAAGAGAACAAAATATTGACTCTGGCTAAGGTGATTCAAGTATATCAAATGCATCAGCTTGTAATTGCTGTAAATCACCATAATACTGATGCAAACAGTATTTTAAATACTGTTTATTTATTTTTAAATTTTATTTAAAAATATAAATTTTAAAATAAACATTTATTTATTTTAAAACAGGAAGAGCAAGAAAATAGCAGAGACCATAGTGGCTTATTACCTATCTACCTTAGGTGGGGAAAATAGTGTTCTTTATGATTGCAATAGGAACATCTTGTTCTACTTCACATATTCAGCTTACCAACAAAGGATGTGTTATTTCAATCTCAAAGTCAGTTATTCAGTGTGAAGAGAGAAAGACTGTTTAATAGCTAGAGCTTTTCAGACAAAGCATCCATGCAAAGTGCTTTCCTGTTATCCAGAGGAACTACTTGGGATAATACCATCATACACTGCTGAGCCAATACACAAAGCAAACTCATATATCTTAAATTGCTTGATATGCAAGGAAACTTTTGCCATTAAAAATAAAGTTTCAGCAAAAATGAAAAGAAAGAAGATACAACTTGAATTTGACTTATATCTCTTTTGTTCCTTCCTAGGCAGCCATAGCAATATTCAGTGTGAATCAAAGGCAGCAAGAATTAAAGTCTACTCTGATGCAGTACCCAGGACATACCTAAAAAGAGCTTCTTTGTCAAATACTGTGTCTGCAGGCATATTCACAGGAATAAGAAGGTCTGGATGGGAATCAAGATGAACAAAACTGATGTTACTGGCAGGAAGATGCTTTGAGCCAATGGCACGATAAATGAAAGGCAGCACCTAAAGCAACAGAAACAAAAACATTTTAATGATAGCCAGTGGGCTGAAAAATGCAACAGCTTTAGCAGCAAAACCACCAGTACCACTTTAGTTCCTTTAAATTTGGATTAGAGGGAGGAGGAAACAGAATACAATACAAAGGGGAAATAACTCCAGTGGCAAGACAACTCATGAACAGTAATCATTATTTAAGTCCAAGTGTTCCAGATGAAAAATTGCTGAAGAGTCACAGCTTTACACCCTTTTCCCTTCTTTATAGGATGTCTTGCTTGCAGCAGCTCTTCTCACTAGCCATTCAACTCAATTCCTAGATGTTTGAGGTTATTTTTCCATTTACAACTAAGACTCAGGAATGCCTTTCCTCTTCTGCAGATCATTGACTGTGTACTTCTTTCTCCATTATATAAAGCTTCCTCACCATGCACTGGTGCTATGGAGATAAAAACAGTTTGCTCCTTATAAGTTAAGTGATACAGATTGAAAACTGACCCCACCATGATTTAAAATTTAGCTGACCATTAAACCTACTCCTCTTGAAGAATTAATTCCTAATCCCTCCATGACTGTTTGCAATAGAGACCACCTTTCTCAACTGCCCAACTTTATTCCCTGCTGAAGTTCTTCACTCAGAAGTGTGAAAAACAGATGAGGCAACTCACCAATTTACAGCACAGCAAACCACTGCACTGCAATAACATAGGGTGGTAAAAATGAGAAAACTGATGGCTGATTCCTCTTGGAGCTGCAGTACACAGAGTCTCTTCCACAGTTAGAAGGCATCAACTGCCTTGGCTACCAGAGCAAATTCATCAAGGGTTGTGAATCACAGCCCTATTATACAGGGAATGTGAAGACTGTAAAAAGCAACAAAAATTATGTGTGACCTCTGCATTACCACAGCAACTGATCTACTTTTTTGGCATAAAACTGATTAAGATGACAAACCCTGCATACTGCATAGGCATAACCATAAAACATATTAATATTATTGCAATAGTAGATAAGAAAAGACTAAAACCAACATGGGTTCCCTGACCCATGGCTTTTACTTCTTTGTAAAAAAGAAGCAATCTGGCCTACTAAACAACCTACAGTATTTACAATTAAAATTGAAGCTTTACCTCAGGTAAGTGCAACTACCGACTGCAAGAGACAAGAGAGACTTGTAAGTTCTCTAACCTTGCAAGCTCTCCTGATTTGGATTAGAACAAATTGCTGTTAGTATTAATCCATGCATGATGAAGCTACTGACAACTTGCTCTGGAGGAACATCACTGTCAGCAAGGCTGATATAAAGTATAAAATTTTCTGTGAAGTTCTTACACTTTGGGACAAAAAGCCATTTATGTTTTATGCAAGATAGACCAATTCATCCACATTCCTACAATGAAAACATTTTAAATTAAATATATAGTATTAATAGAACTTTAAGCTAATTAAAAAAAGAAATATAGAGACTAAAACAAAGAAGGACCATTAAGAAGCATTATGTCAGAATTCGTATCACAGTGACACTCCAAGTCCTTGGCTACCAAGAAAAACCAGCTGTCACAGCATCACATAGTCACTGAGTCTTAGCAAAAATGAATTGTATTAAAGTACTTCAAATCTGTAAAATTATTGTCTTTAATAAACTTTACTACACTAACATTTTATCTTTGGAAAGAATCTAGTAAAGAATCTGTTATTTTAGGATTAAAGCCTCAGTTTATGCTATTATAAAAAACCTCATGAGAAACCAGATGCAGCAGTCCAAAAGCAATTCCTCTTTCACTTCCTTTTTCAAAGACTCCACGAAAAAAAAGCATAGCTCCTTATTTTTAACATTTCTCGTCAAGTGGGAGTCAATCTACTAGCTGGGATGGGATTATATTTACTTATCCTCTGCTGACATGCCATACACTGGGTAGGGTTGAGTTTCCAAGCACTCCACTAATAGATGGCAAATTATAACAGCAGTATAACGTAGGTATTATCTCCTTTAAATCACAGCAATCTATGATACAAAGAAGACAAAATACCATTCAACAATGTTGGCTTTAAAAGATGCCAAAATGCGATCATGGCAATAAGTAGCTCAGTCGCTGAATCGGGAAGGAAAATCAGGTCAGCTGGGCGCTGAAGTTCATTGATGTTTCAGCAGCGGAAGGGAAGGCAGTTCTAGCTAGGGTTTGTGCGCGGCTGCGGAGGGGAGGGCCGTTCCCAAGGAAGCGCCCGGAGAACCCGCACACAAGACGGGAAAGCGCAATTCCCGGAGAGGCCGCCGGTGAGCGCACCGGGCACTTCTCTTGGCTTCCATCCGCGCCGCGGAGAAACCCACCAACAAACTCACACAAACAGGAGGAAACGAAACCGCTCCCCATGCCCCACCCGGGGGACTCCCCATCGCTCGGCAGCCCAGCGCGGGGCACTCACGTCCTGGTGGTCCTCCACCACCCACACGGGCAGGGCCGGGTAATGCCGCCGAGAGGCCGCGCCGGGCAGGGCGGCACCGCCGGGCCCCGGGCCCGGCTCCGCTCCGCTCATGCCGCCGCTCCCCTCGGGCGGGCGGCGCTTCCGCCCGCAGCGCCTCCCACCGCTTTCCTGTTCCGGAGCCGGGGCGCTGCGGGCGGCGCTGGCCTCGGCGGCGGCGGGGGCGCCAGGTGGGCTCGGCGTGCCGGGCTGCGCGGCGAGGGGCGGCGGGGCCGCCTTGGGGCCGCTCCGCGCTGCTCGCGGGGCTCCGCAGGGGTCGCGGCCGTGGTGTGGCGGGGGCGCGGTCCCGGGGTCGGGAGCGCGGTCCCGGGGTCGGAGCGCGGCGGCTCCGCGGGGCTGGCGGGGTCGGGCTGGTGGGGCCGTGCGGCCGAGCAGAGCCCGGAGTGGGGCCCGGCCGGGGGCGGCTCAGCGGCTCCGTGCCCCCGGCCCCCGGGCCGTCGAGGGGCGGCGGTGGGGTGAGGCCGGGTGGCGCTGGATGGGTCAGATCGGAAGGGACCACAGTGGTCATCGGGTCCAATCTCCCTGCTCCAGCAGGGTCATCCCAGAGCACATGGCATAGGATTGTGTCCAGACAGCTCTTGAATATCTCCGGTGAGGGAGACTCCGCTGCCTCTCTGTGGAATCCGTTCGGTGCGCGGGCAGCCGCACACTTAGAGAAGTTCTTCCTCAGCTTCAGGTGGAACTTCCTGTGCATCAGTTTCTGCCCATTCGCTCTTGTGCCCATTCACTCAAGCCGGCCTCCATCCTCTTTGATTCCCTCTCTTAGACACTTGCAGACGTTGATGATGTCACCTGCAGTGCTTTCTTCTCCATGTGTCAGTGCCCTGTTCCTCTCAGCAGGGCATCTGCAGGGAGAGGCGAGTTTATTCAGTGTTTTTTAGGGGACCGGTGCTGCTTTAGAATGCAATGGCTCCCGTCAGTGCAATAAAATTCCTCTTTAGGTGACAGGGGAAGGGGAATTTGCCCTTTTCTGTGTTTTCGAACTTACTTAACTTTAAATGAAAGTTGAATGGGACTTGAGTTTGCAGCAGATGGAGCTTTAAAATAATTTGGGCATGTAAAATAGTTTCTTGTCTTCTTGAATCTTTTTTCTTCTTCGATCACAGTTGTGATTCTGTGCATTCCTGAAGGACTGAAATTGAAGTGGTAGAACAAGTGCAGTTCTCTGGTGTCAGGCAGACCTGAGAGCTGATAAACAAGACCCTTTGTTTGAATGCTGTGACGAGTTAGAAAGGAGCACACCTAAAGACAAAGCACTGTGGTACAGCCTGTTTAAATAAAATGTGTATGTGAACGTTAGCAAAGCCTAGAACAGTCTTCTGTTGCAAGCCTGAGCTGTGTAAGAGCACAACAGGAGAACCAAAGCAAAAGTAATTCAGCATCTGATGGATTATAATTAGTGATACCAAAGGGGTGCCCTATTGCCACACAAAATGGACATTGACTTTCTTTTTTGCTCCCCTGGTTTGCAGTGGCTTTTTTTTTTTTTTTTTTGAGAGCCCTTACAATATCGGAGGGTACTGAGCAGGTACAGGCTGACTGGAAGGAACAAGTGGCTTTATACCATCATGGCTGCTGTCTCCTCAAAGTGTGGGATTCTCACTCACATTTGCCCTTGGTTGTTCTGCAGGGGGAAAGACCCCTACAAATTCCAGTTACTTCCACTAAGCCCTGCATGCGTAAGAGTCCTCTTGGTTCCTCCTCTTTGATATCAGTCCTTTTCCTCTGTGTTTCTTTTCCTTTCTCCCTCCAGTGCACCAGCAGCTGTCTGCTTTCTCTCAGCAAGTGCTGAGAGAAAATGCTCAGAAAATGCTTCTTTTATTGCAGTGTCACCAGGATGCAGCTGAGAGCAGTGCTCTGAGCAGTCCAGGTTGGCCATGTTGCACTATAGCAGGTGGGAGAATGTTCTGTGCATGTACTTCAGCATCAGCAAAGCCTCAGTAAAAGGGAGGCTTTATTTCCTTTTTCTGGTCATCTTTCCAATTGTGTGTATGTATGTCTCCCCTTTCTTTCTCACTTTCCATTACAGAAAACAGGATTTGACTTCTGGAAGTGCTTGGGTCATTTTTTTCACCTCTCCTTCCATTCCAACCGTAGATTTCCTTTAGTGTTTTTCCCCTGTTTTCATGTTTTGAAACTTAACATTGTTATTAAAGAATCAATTTAAACTTTAATGAAGCACAGTGCTTTCATTTATAAATGTTAATGCCTTAAATACATGCCTAGTTTTCCACAACACTTAAGCCTACTTTAAGCAGTGATAGTTTCTCAAGGGTAGCAGGGCCAAGAAGGCCGTTGGGGGATTTATTTGGAATCATTTATTTCAACAGAAATTAAAGAATAGCACAGTCTACATGATTTCTTTTCATAACCTATAAGATGTGTAACCTGTTTTTCTATAAAAATATAACTAGTTCACTTAAAACAATTTTAAGAGTCTGTTGAATTCAGTCCTTTAGTACATTGGAGACTCAATAGTGAGTGTAAATTGCTAGTATTTAATTTAAAAATTTACATGATTTGTTGGGCCAGGTGGCATGCAGTGAGGCATTAGTCAAGTCATTCTGCCCAAAGTTTAGAATTGTGTTCTAGGGAGAACTCTTTGTTATGCAACTTTGGATGACTACTGCAGCTATTAGTAATGAGTGATTTCTTTGGTGTGGGGTATCCAGAGGTTTTATATCAAAGTGTCGAAGTACTGGTGGAGGTGCTTGTATCCTTGACCTGTCATCAAAACAAGAATTTGTTGAAATTACATTGCCCTTACTCGTAAAGCATGATCCAGCTTGGGTTCTGGCTTGAAGACAGTAAGTGCTTTCATGGATTAGAGGCTTGAAGGAATCAAAGGGGGCATAAAAGGCCTGCACTAAAGGTCTGAGGAGCACAAAGCTCCCAGTGGAAGTGGATATCATTTACTGCTTCTGTTAAAGGAAACTGCAGTTTCAGCACTTCAGGAGTAGCTCCTGCAGATGCATTGAGGACATATTAGAAAAATTATGTGACTCTGGATTTTTATTCTCCTCAATAAAGGTGAGCCATGTCTTTCCATTCTGGGCGAGGATGTCCCCGTGGCCAGGGGGGACCAGGAGCAAGAACTTCAACACAGACCTACCGCCCTCAGAACCTGCGGCAGCTTCACCCACAGCAGCCCTCCGTGCAGTACCAGTATGAGCAGCAAACCGCCCCTCCGACAACCTACTCCAACCCTCCTGCCACCGGGTACATGCCTCCCAGGCCAGACTTTGTGCCCTATCCTCCTCCAGTGCCCCCTTCCACGCAAAATCCCATCAGCCAATGTCCCATGAGGCCACCGTTTCCAAACCACCAGATGCGGCAGAGCTTCCCAGTGCCTCCGTGTTTCCCTCCCGCTCCTCCACCAGTGCCAAACCCTAGCAACACTCCTGTGCCAGGAACACCTGCTGGACAAAGCACCTTTCCTTACATGATGCCTCCCCCCACAGTACCGCACCCTCCCCCGCCACCGGTCATGCCGCAGCAGGTCAGCTACCAGCCCGTGTACTCGGCGGGGTACTCGCAGCAGTCCTTCCCGCCGCCCAGCTTCAGCAGCTACCAGCACAGCTCCGGCTCCTTCCCGAGCAGCGCTGCCAGCAGCAGTGCCGGCAGCAGCCACTTCCGGCACACGGGGCAGTACCAGGCAGAGAAGGCCCAGAGCGAGCGGCGCTCCCCGGACAGGAGCAAGCACTACGATGAGCACCGGCACCGCGAGCACGGGCACATGCACGGCGACAGGCACCGCTCCGCCAACCACGGCGATCGTCGGGATCGCGGCCGCAGCCCGGATAGGAGGAGGCAGGAGAGCAGTCGGCACCGCGCGGATTATGACAGAGGAAGGATATCGCCTCATCACAGAAGTTATGAGCGAAACAGGTAACTCTTATCTGCCTCTGCCTGCAGGGGGGAGATGTCATCAGCGGTATGTGTTTGCATCAGTGTTCTTGCCTTACCCTTGTTCGTCCCTCTAGCTCGGGAAGTAGCCAGTAGTCAGGTCTCATGGCAAAATTACTGTTTAGACACCTTCCAGGTGCACTGCTTTGCCTCACGGCTGTGAGCTGGCAGACTTGTTGCTCTTGTCCACAAAGATAGTTTTCAAACAAGAGCTTTGTTGCATCCCACTGAGTGGATTGTTGAGTAGTGCTCTATTGGAATAAGATCCCAGTATTAGCAGGTAGATTGTGCCTGGGCTCATCTGACCTTTGCTTCTGGGCCAAAGGCGGCAACTGTGGTGTTTCACCTCAGATACACTTTTGGCTGGCTGGATGTTGCAGCTGGGCACTGAAACAAACCCAGGCTTGTAGAAACTTAGTTTACCTCAGGTGGAAGGGCTTCAGGCGATGGTGAAGAGGAAAAGGAGATGGATTCTGCAGAGGGTTTGATCCAGAGTTTTATTCCATGGTCACAGACATCTGAATCTTGGTAACAGCTCCAACAGAATACTCACCGCATGGTCCTGGCTGAATTTAAGCCCAGGAACAGGGAGAGGGGAAGGGACAGGTGAGCACCAACCAGGTGGGAGGAGGAGGTTCTCAGGGAACTAGGGACACATAGACGGGCCTATGACCCCAGGCCTGGGGGCATCTTTCAAACTTGACCAACTACATGATGGCCTTGCTGTAATGTTAAGACTGATTGACAGAACTCACTCAGCAAGGAGGTGAGGGGGAAGGGAGAGAGGTATTGCCACACCTGGGAAGTAAAACAGGAAGTAGGCTCACACTGCAACAGTGCTCAACATATTTACCTTAGAAATTTATGCACATGTGGCAGGAAAATAGAGTTGGTACTCTAAAACTATGGAAGGTTGAGTCTTCCAAACAATTAACCCCCAGCACTTCAGATTTCAAGATTTAGAAACCAGAGTTAGGGTGCCAGGTGATACTTTCTTTCAGTAAGCCTTGTATTTGCAGAGAATACTGACTTAGTGAGGTTTATAGTCTGATAGGGGCCCATAGCTAATCCTTTCAGTAAGGTGTTTTAGTGAAGAGCATGCTATGTTCAGAGTAAAAACCTCAGCAAGCCAACCCATGATCTCAAGA